ATATTGGCAACTAGTTGAATAGGTTTAAGTTTTTTACGTTTGATTTCACTTAACGTTTATTTTGTCTCCAGTTAAACAAAATAAATAAATAAAGTAATACTTCATTCATAATTAATACATAATACAGTAATGACAGTACAAAGACAGTAATCTATCAAATGTGTATAAAACGTGTGATATGATGAATAGGGCTCACACATGGCAGTGAGAAATATGGTGCTACTCTAAACAGTGTTGCCAATTTAGCAATTTTGTTGCTAGATTTAGCAACTTTTCAGATTACCCTAGCAACTTTTTCTTCCAAAAGCACCTAGCGACAAATGTAGCTATTTTTTAAAATGTATTTGCCAACTTTTAGCAACTTTTGATAAGTGACTCAAACGATAAAAAGGCACACATTTTCCATCTAAATTAGACAAAAAGAGGAAACCAAAGATGCCTAGCAGTGCACACATCACATGAATTAAGTTAATAATTATTAGGTGTGTTCGACTTGAAGCGGCGCTGCGCAGACCGATCAGTGTATGACATCAAAGTACCGTGAGAGCTAATAGAGAGCAGACGGACCTGCATGATTTCTAATCGCTCTCGCGGTGCTTTGATGTCAAACACCGATCAATCTGCACAGCACCGCTTCAAGTCGAACACGCCTATTATGATACACCTTGTTAGTAGCTTGTACCTGTGATTGTTGATCAGTTAGTAGATCAAGAAAAATGGAAAAGGTAGTAATTTTCCAGGACTTTATCCATTATCTGTTGTAACCCTGTAACCCAAAAACACTAAATACAGTGCGGAATTTAAAATGTAGGTAAAAAAACCCTGTGAAAAATCAATATGGAAAATTTCTTCATATTAGCATAGTAGACTATTTTTGACAGGCTTTTCTTAGAGTGTAGCATACTAACAAACTACTAATACACTGCTTAAAACTAATTGTTCCGAATGTGCTAATAAAAAAATTGTACTAGCTAATAAAAAAACCTTAAATTGTAATTGTTCAAAAATGTGTAAGTGTTCAATAATTTAATGTTGTATTTAAAAATACAGTTATTTATATTGTAATATTATTATATTATGCATTTATATGATTTTACGAACAACTCGAAATGAACATATATAAATTATATTTTTTGCTGAGATTTGATGCAGTGACACAATTTTGCACCGTGATGCCATCATCGCACAATGTCATTTAGCAACTTTTAGCAACAAATCGACCTTCCTTTAGCAACTTCCCATTAAAATTAGTTGGCAACACTGACTCTAAAGCGCAGTCATAGTGCGGCATAGAGCACATGGGGGTCCATCTATCCATTCATTCAGCACTAGCACAGGACATACAGTCCTGATTATCCTGCAGCTTAGTTCAGCTACATTTATTAGTGTGTTTAACCCGTGTTTGTTGCCGTATCAGTCTGGAGGCTTGTGAACACCATGGTTTTTAGACAGCTCGTCTGCGGTGATGCTGCAGCATCATCATGCGTCCTGCGGTCAGACCTTTGCTCATAGCCATGAAGACACTCGGATAATAACCATAACGTGATTTCTGGAAATAAAGGAAACGGAACAGGGAGGGAGCGACTAATCGACCCAAATGCAGTGAGTAGAGCTGCATCAGAACATGCTGTCTGTACACCAGATAAGAACATTATAGGATGTTGTTGTTAAGCCACTCTTAAAATGGTCAAGGGTAGCCTATTTTAGGCGATGAAATTGTGGAAAGATAAGTGAAAATGGATAAACTGCACATATATAGAGTACATTGGATTAACAAGAGAAATAAATTAATTAACAAAGAACGTAAGCAAAACATGAAAGTTCAAGATATATCCCAAATCTAACTACATCACCACAGACCCTGAACTAGGCTATTATCAGCTTTAATGGCGATAGATCTTGAACGATGGGAACATTGAGATCTGAAGCAGTCTCAGTCCCTGCTGAGAGATCCAAGCATTCATTGACACTTGCAGGACGTTAAAAAACTAAGCAGACCTGGACAGAACAGAACGATCCTGCTTTAGAAGTGTCAGCATCTGGAGTTAAACTTCCCTGAAACAACTACTAAAGCAAATAGGTTTAGCTAACAAGCAAGATATAGGCTATGCACAGTGTTGGGAGTAACGCATTACAAGTAACGCGAGTTACGTAATCAGATTACTTTTTTTCAAGTAACTAGTAAAGTAACGCATTACTTTTTAATTTACAAGAGAATATCTGAGTTACTTTTTCAAATGAGTAACGCAAGTTACTTTTTTTTCCAATTTATTGATTGACAGCTCTCCTGTCCCCATGCTGAGAGAAATCAGATGTTACTGTAGATCTAAAATAAATATGAATATGCATTAATTCATCTCACTCTCTCACAAAAAAACACACAGATTCAGTATTCCTCAAAATGAATAAAAATAATGCAACTCAGAATATGATGCAAACCTGCAATAATTAAATGTTAAACAACACAAATATGCTTTATGTATTTAATCCCATTCTGTTAACCAATGTCTTTGCTTCTGACCTTCGATGATCCAGTTCATCCGTACTAATAAGCACAACTCTTTTTTTTTTATTGCTGAAGTGTGTTGAAATGTCTTCTTCTGCATTCTACTGTACGGACGTGAATGCACTTTTCCTTCAGCCTGAGGCTTATTCATTTCACTCTTGGTGTGAAAAGGCTTTTATATATTTGTAGAATATTGAACTTTTTTATTTTAAAAACAAACAAGCAAGCCCTGTCCGGATTTAAAAAGTAACGCAAAAGTTACGTAACGCATTACTTTCCATAAAACGTAACGAAGTACCGTAATTAGTTACTTTTTATGGAGTAACGCGATATTGTAATGCATTACTTTTAAAAGTAACTTTCCCCAACACTGGCTATGAGACCCTGCAGCAGGTTCTGCATTAACTCCTAATTTAACTGGAATATCACACACAAGATGACATTTGTGATAACTGTAGTCTACAGATTATTGTTTATTAAACAGCGTAATATATTGTTCAGGGGTTACGCAATATAAATCAAGCTTAGGCTATTATTATAAAATGTAAAATGCTTTAAAATACTTAAAATGTGTTTAAAATATTTAGTTATACACTAGTTTTGTGATAAGAAATATTGCAATATTTTTTTAAACATATTGCTGTGTTTGTAGGTGCTGTTGTTAAATTAAAAATTTGATTTACCTAATTACTTATTGATTTCACAATTTCATGTGCTTTGATGTGATTTCAAGTACTCTGGCCCTTCATGGATTTTGTGGTCACTGCAGTGAATTTCAATTTAATATGAGTTTGAATGCGGCGCGGTTCCCATAGCAATAAAAGAAGCGGGAGGAGTACCCGAGCGTTGCCCATGCGCAGTAAAGCTTCAAAGAACAGCGCTTAGAAGCGCAAAATGCGCATGCGTAGCCGCGCTTGTTCACACAGCGCTTCAACTCAAGAGCTTCACTCGGCAGTTTGTGAGGAGGGTGTGCTGGTAGCGCATACAAACCTGACCAAGAACGGTTAGGAATAAAACATACATGACACTCGTGAGAAGTGTAAGTACACGTTTTATGTCTTTACTTTATATATGAGCGCGTCTGGGGCGTAAATGTGGCTATTTGAGTAGGTTAAAGGGTTTATTTGATCAGCTGAGGGCGGCGCGGTGATCAGCCGTGGCACAATATCCTTCTTTGTTCAGGTAACGCGTTGAAGCGCCTTAAAACATCAAGATTTAACACATAAATCATTAGAGGACACTCTTTACTCGTATGTAAGACATTAGTATGGTATATTAAAAGTTAAATTTCACCATTACCTGGGTTATTAATATTTTTTAAAACATGATTTTAAGGTGACATGAATCGTGCCGTTATTTATTGTTGGTTTGATTTGAGTGTTTTTATATTTGGGTTTCCTACTGTTTTTGCTGGGTTATTGATTCTGCTTTACAGTTTTTGAATGGAAGCAGTGTTTAGACTCCGAGCCGGTTCAGTTTTAGCTTTACAGCAAAATGGAGGACCGAAAATGACCAATAAAACCATAAAAACACTAACCGATTAACTATACATTTTACAGGACCGCAATGAAAATAATCAGTGTAACTTATGTACAACACAATAGTTTATTAGTTTGGCTCGTTATTGTAATTAGTTTTTCAATTTCTCCCACTATTCACTTTAATATTGAATTATTAATTTCTGTAGTTATTTCTGGAAAATCCTAATATATTTACTTTTTGAGTGGTAAATGTAGCAGTAAACATGGTCGTTCTTGTGTTTAAGTGGTAGATCCATAAAAAAAAAACATCTAATGGGTTTGTTTATTAGTTAACTCACTATATCATTGTTTAAATATGACTTATAGGTTGTTGGAATAATGTCAGTACAGAACTGATTCAGTGTTTGTTGGCTCCCTCCTTCATTTAACAAAATGGTTGGCTGCCGGTCGGCCATCATTTCTCTCACACACTACTGCAACGTGGCTGAATCACCCCCAACCTTTGTGTCTTCAGACACAGGCTGGGAGCCGTGTTAATCCATCACATGTGTGTTATGATCATTGTGGTGTCTTTTACAGTCTGAGGAGGGGAAACAGAAACCCATGACATCAGATAGTGTAGAGACGTCATAGAATGGGGTACATGAACACACACAGGAAACATTGCCCAAGAGGGCTGTCACAACTGTGTAAGCATTTTACCCGAGCGATTTCATTCAGAAAGTTAAGATATGAATAAGCGGTGCTCTATATTCTTTTGAGCACTTGTGGTCTTGCCTTTTTAAATGATTAGGTTCAGGCTAGATTGTTACGTTCTCTTCTGTATCCTCTGTACAGTCTCATTTGAGCTGAACGCTGCTCAAATTCATTCAGCTTTCAACGTCTTCTCCATAGCAATGAGGAAGCATATTAATAAAGTGCTCAAAGCGAATGACATTGTAATCAGATTCGTGTTTTGGTCTAATGATGTACGGTACATTGCTAATCAGTTGTTTTTCTACTGTGTTTTGCAGGGTATCCCAGTGTAAAATGGAGGATAGTTTTGATTGCGACTGCGGTGAGCTGGAGCCACCTGATCATTGAGAAGGAATAGTCTCACTGAGATCATCAACCCTTTCGGTTTCCCCACATCAGGTGCTTTAAACAGGATTTATCACCATTAACTTGGACCATTAGTAATGCTGCTGTTCAGGGCCAGTCATACACTGAAAACTTCTGCACTGTGACGATGGTTTTATAGGTAGTGACTTTAATTATTTCAGTTACATTCAGAGATATTTGATTGGCTTCCAAATTCATTCCGTTAAGCCCTAATAAACATTGAAATAAAAAGAAAACTCTCCCACAAACTACGTAAAAAGCTGCTAAAAAGTGCTGTGGATGATGACAACATATCTCGGCAACATATCTGAATCGGTTCCAAGCATCTCTCAGAATACGCTGTAACGGTCGTTCGGGGAAAACGCTCAAGTCTTTGTAGGCTTGAGTGTTTTGTCTTGTGTTTTTTGTTTAAGTTGTCTTTCTCAAATTAGCTGTAGTAGTTGCAACTCAAGATCGGCTGCATATCAGAAATCAGAAATCCTCCCCTCTATAATATCTGCTCAGAGCTGCTCTTGTAGGCAGCAAAATGGCAGAGAAATTTGAAAGCCTTATGAACATTCACGGCTTCGACCTGGGCCCTCGCTACATGGACCTAAAGCCTCTGGGCTATGGGGGCAATGGACTGGTCTTTTCCGCTGTCGACACCGATTGTGACAAAAGGGTCGCTGTGAAAAAGATTGTCTTAACCGACCCTCAGAGCGTTAAACACGCCTTGCGCGAAATCAAGATCATCCGCAGGCTCGATCACGACAACATTGTGAAGGTGTTTGAAACGCTGGGGCCCAGTGGCCGGAGGCTCACGGAGGATGTGAGCTCTCTGACGGAGGTCAACTCCGTGTACATCGTACAGGAGTACATGGAAACAGACCTCTGTAAAGTACTGGAACAAGGCTTGTTGTCCGAGGATCATGCACGGCTGTTCATGTACCAACTGCTGCGAGGACTGAAATACATCCACTCGGCAAACGTGCTTCACCGTGACCTGAAGCCCGCCAACCTCTTCGTCAACACTGAGGACTTGGTACTGAAAATCGGGGACTTTGGACTTGCCCGTATAATGGACCCCCACTATTCCCATAAGGTATTTATTTTTTCTCATATTTATCTCTTTCTGTGTTTGAAGTCTGTTTCATCGCATTGACAACCATCCAGATGGCATCTTGTTTGGCTGAGGTATGAATGAGCTTTCATTCCATTCACTGATGGATGTATCCAAAGACTATAGAAGAATTCCCAAGACGTGTCAGTTTTGAATGGGGAAAAAATGCAACACTCAATATGCCTGCTCTATCGAATGAAGCCCCGCCTTCTGAGCAAAATAACTAATTGGTAAAGTCAGCACATCACTGCAGCTGCCGTTAGAAGTCCAGTTTGCTATAGAAACAGTCAATGCTCTGAGACGTACGCTTAGGACTGCACACTGGCTGATCTAGCCTGAAAAATAAGCTTTTTATACCGCTATTTGAGCAAAAGAAACCACATATATGACACAGTTGTTGTCAGATTTCATTGGTGATTTCAAATATGAAATTTAATCGTAAGCTTAGTGAACAGTTTTGGAGAATTTGATGTTTCCCCATTCAAAGAGATAGGAGCTGCACTTGCATGCCCGAAAGGCATTTCAAAGATGGCCACCGAGTGACATGACTTAGTGACACTCCACTATTTTTGAAAATAGGCTAATTTTCCAACTCGCTTAGAGTTAAACAATTGAGTTTTACCGTTTTCAAATCCATTCAGCCGATATCCGGGTCTGGCGGTAGCACTTTTAGCTGAGCTTAGCATAGATCATTGAATCTGTTTAGACCGTTAGCATCTCACTCAAAAATGACCAAAGAGTTTCTATATTTTTCCTATTTAAAACTTGACTTTTCTGTAGTTACATCGTGTACTAAGATCGACGGAAAATGAAAAGCTGCGATTTTCTAGGCCGATATGGCTAGGAACTATGGGTGCAGCAGGCGCAGTGATATTACGCAGCGCCTGAAAATAGGCTTATTGGAAGTTACCTAGCTGGGACTATTTTCAGGCGCTGTGTAATATCATTGCGCCTGCTGCACCCATCTGCAGCAAAGTTCCTTGATTATTACACTGGAATGAGAGTATATAGTTCCTAGCCATATCGGCCTAGAAAATTTTCATTTTCCGTCGGTATTAGTACACGATGTAACTACAGAAGAGTCAAGTTTTAAATAGGAAAAATATCGAAACTCTTTGGTTATTTTTGAGCGAGATGCTAACGGTCTAATCCGATTCAATGATCTATGCTAACATTGATTTATCTATGGCGGCCCGCCGCAATATTAACACTGACTGCCACAAATAGAATTTCCACAAGGCTTTGACTTTGTTGAATAAACATGAGCTCTGCACGTTTCAAATTCAAAACACGGCAGGGGTGTTTTTATATGAATATATCATTTTTGAAGGGAACCGATTGTCTTCAGAAAAGTTTTGATGTCATTTTCATTTAATCTTTCCTATAATGCCTTATAAAGTAGCGTTCATGAGTGCAACGCTGCTTTGATTACAGCCATTACCGGGGAAACCGCTCTTTCTGCCACTCTTAAAGCGCCTCCTGCTGGCAGAGAATGAATTTGCACTTTCAATAAGCCTGCTGTTTTATATTTACATTATATACATGTATATTTCCCCCAGGGAAAGTGCCACCACACATAGTGTAAGTCTGCGGGAAACTGTAATTGTAAAAACTGCATTTTTGTACAGTTTAAACGGTTATGTACAACTTTTAATTTGAGTGTTGCTTATTAAATTTGATTAATGCATTAGGGCTGTCAAAAAATTATTCGAAGTTCGAATATTCGTCGAATTTAATATAAAGATCCATATTCGAATGCAAAAACGTTGCATTCAAATTTTAGGTGTGCGTTAAGGAGGCAGCCTTATCAGTGTCATTGCATTATAATGTTTTTGTTAGCCTATCCAGTTGTAGGGATGGGCAATATGGGCTTAAAAATATATCACGATGATTTCTGATATTTATTGCGATAACAATATCAATGACCATAATTTAGGGAATCCTGTTTCTTTAGAGCAGTGGTCACCAACCTTTTTTAGGCCCAAGATCAGCCTTTCTGAAAGACAAGATCTAGATATTGAAAAATTTATAGAAAAAGACAACCAGATTGTACTTCAAATTTGAGGCCTTTTACTTAGTGCTTTAATTAGTGATGCGCCGATCATAGCTGATTCAGAATTCAGATTTTCTTTCTCTTTTTTTAAACTAGCAAATTGGATTCTGCTACTGATACTGATTTTTAAGCAAATTTATTTATTGGCTATTTGCTTTATAACAAACAAACTGGCTTTAAACAAAAATGTCTAGCCGTTTGAAATTATAGGCAACCACTTCATTTTAATCATGATCTGCACGGGCAGTTGTTTTTGATTTGATTTAGATTAATTTCAGGATTTAAAACAAAAACAGAATAGTCTGACTTTAGGTGTTATTTATTTATTTGCTACATAAAACATCTGCACGAAACAAAAACAGCAAGTCTGAATGAGACGCACTCTCTGACAGCAGGTGGCGCCTATGAACAGGGTTGGCAGGTTTTCGCAATAAAACTAGTCCAATCGTGTTTCGAGGGGGGTTCCCCTGTAAAAATCGCATTCCAGGGGTAAAATACAAGTTTTTCGGCGGGGATCTTCAAGTAAAATTCACATTCCAGGGACTAAATATCACGTTATTGGGGTCGCTTCAACCCGCGGACATGAACAACAACCCGCGGCAACAGTGTTAAGTAGCCCAATTCCATGGGAAAACCGCGGACTTGGCAACACTGCTTATGAACCGACCACAATATAGCGTTTCCTTGGTTACCGCTGTAAACAATGCAGAGCTGTGCTTTATACGGAGAAGAAAATGCCATTAGGCCCTTCCGCACCGCTTTAGTTCCAGAACTAAATGTACGGTACTAAAGTACTGGGACGATTTTGTGCGAACTATTTCCCAGTACTATTTAAAGGGTTGCATTCGCACCGACAGTGTGTACTAAGAAGTGATGTAAGCCAGTCGACAGCGACGTCATTTGTGTGTGGCATTCAACAACGAAAACAAAGAAGAACAACATTAACAACAGGAGGATGGAGGACGCTGTGATCGGAGCGGTGTTTTTGTTGTGTCTTGCGGGTTTCATCGCTGTAGCTGAATAAAACGCAGATAAAGAAGTTTTAACTCCGGAAACCTGAAGACAATAAACATGCGATTGCACAAAATATATGGTATCCCTGTTCTTCAAGCAATCTTGGGTATTTTTTATAATGATAAAGTATATTTATAATGCAATGCTAATCGACACTGTATCACTGTATAATGCTATAAAATAGTATGATTTCTGCCTTATTCTGTGATACGAAACCACGTCTGATCACAAAAATGTTATTTCAGACACTTGACTATGTTATAACGTTAATATGGAGAAAAAGCATGTCAATAAATTTAAATATCTTTGTTGGACAACAGGTTTGTAAACAACTCATACACATGTAAAACTGTCGCACATGTGCTACTGTAGTACATGTGCTACTGTAGTACATTTACTCAAGGCTCAGACCGATTTTTGTCGCACTGTACAGCCCTATCCAAACCTGCTCCAGATTGTAGAAGGAGCTGCTCAATTTCACTTCCGCCTTCCTTCATGTCACTCCACACAGTCGTACACAGAAATATGTCAACAACTAGACTTTATCGTTATTATCGCGGGAAGACGAATTCTTATCGTGTGGATCATTTTTACCGGTATATCGCAAACGATAAGATATCGCCCATCCCTCTCCAGTTGAAGCCACTAGAAGTGGCGCGGCTGCGTTGTTCATTACAAATATTGCGGGAAAAGAGAACATCAATGCGGAAAAGATCTTGTTTACGTCAAAACCGAAACTAAGGGACATCTATTACTGTTGCACTCGCGTCTCTCACACAAGAGCCGCATGTTTAGAAAGCCATGTAAAGCTAATGCAAGTTCAACTTTGAAAAAACAGAGACTTTATGGCGGGGTTATATCCCCCATCCCACTGCAACTCATGGTTTTTAAATTAAAAACGTGACATGTGGCCAATTATAGTTACCCATACTAGGAATTAGTGCTCTGCGTTTAACCCATCCTAAGTGCGCACACACACAGCAGTTAACACACACCCGGAGCAGTGGGCAGCCATTTTTGCTGTGGCGCCCGGGGAGCAGTTGGGGGTTTGGTGCCTTGCTCAAGGGCACCTCAGTCGTGGTATTGAAGGTGGGAGAGAGCGCTGTACATTCAACTCCCCCCACCTACAATTCTTGCCGGACTTAAGACTCAAACTCGCAACCTTTGGGTTACGAGTCTGACTCTCTAACCATTAGGCCACGACCTTCCCCTGTAATCTGTGTGTAAACTTTGTTTATAGTTGTTTAAAAGCAACTTAATTATAATTGGTTTATAAACGTTTTAAACATTATGCAATTTTTTCACAGATAGTCATGTCATCTTAAATGCTTTGAATAAATGTGCGTTGGTCGATGCGCCCTCTTGTGGCCTCAGAAGACAAGCCAAAAGCTTTTCTTCACCCTAACTGAAATTATGCATTTTAAATTAGAATATAATTCGTATTTTTAACATATTTAAGTACAAAATTCGAATGTAGTTTTTCAGCAATTTTGACAGCCCTACTGTAGAGTATGCTGAAATCCACGCCAATTGTCAGATTTATAAAAATGTTTTTGAACATGGAGTGCTTAGGGCTATGTCAGGTTCTGAGCAGGTGTACGCACATTTTATCCCTATAATGCATTATAAAAAAACTTTAGTATTTAATTTTTTTTTCAGTTTTCAGCTAAATGAAAACATGTTTTCTTGTAGAAGCATGCTCACTCTTGCCACTTAAGTTTGTTTTTAGTAAACCTGCACAGTACTTTATCCAGCTCATTAATTTTCATTCACAAAGGCACAGTGAATTTCAGAATGTAGGTCATGAAACTCTTATGATGGTATTACCCATCTGTGAATGATTTATGTTCCTTGTGTTGTAAACTTGTATGGAATCGGTCTCCTTTTCACTCCAGAAATGCAGCTATCTTTAATA